AAAAAAAAAAAAAAAAAAAAAAAAAAAAAAAAAAAAAAAAAAAAAAAAAAAAAAAAAAAAAAAAAAAAAAAAAAAAAAAAAAAAAAAAAAGATGGCTGGTGTGGATCCAAATATATCAGTTAATTGCAATAACTATAAACATACTAACGTACCACTTAAAAGACAAAGACTGGCAAATTCACGTTTTTTTAAATAATCAAACTATATGCTGTTTGCAAGGAATATGTGTAAAGCACAAAGACATAAAAAAGGTTTAAATATAAGTAGATGACAATTTCTAACCACAATAAAGGTGATGTTACTTTATTTGTAACAGAAAAAAAGGGGGGAGCTTTTTTTGTAAAACCACATGATCAACTCAATAGACACAGAAGTAGCATTTGGAAAAATCAAATATCCTTTCATAATAAAAACACAACAAACTAAAAATAGAAGAAAACTTCTAGTACTTTAGGAGGCCAAGGCAGGAGGATCCCCTGAGGTCAGGAGTTTGAGACCAGCCTGGTCAACAGGGCAAAACTCTGTTTCTACTAAAAATACAAAAAAATTAGCTGGGTGAGGTGACAGGCACCTATAATCCCAGCTACTCGGGAAGCTGAGGCAGGAGAATCACTCGAAGCCAGGAGGCAGAGGTTGCAGTGAGCCAAGATCGTGTCACTGCACTCCAGCATGGGCCACAAAGCAAGACTCCATCTCAAAAAAAAGGGGGGGGGGATGAAGTACTGATAGACAAATCCATTTTTCAAAAGTACATTAGTAGTTGCCAGAGATGGGAGATGAAAAGAATGTGGAGTAACTGTTAATGGGTATGTGGTTTATTACCAGGGTGATGAAAATGTTCTAGAATATGACAGTGATGATGGTTATACAACTCTATGGATACACTAAAAATCAATGAAAAGATTGTACACTCTAAAAGGGTGAATTTTACAATATATGAATTTTATATATTTTTTTAGTGGTGGAACAAAACACATTGTTAAAGATATAGAGGGTCACTGAATAATGATATAAGTTTTAATTCATAAGAAAGATATAAGAGGCTTGGTGCAGTGGTCCATGTCTGTAATCCCACTCCTAGCTTCAGTTGAAGCCAGGAGTTCATGACCAGGCTGAAGAACACAGTGGAACCTAATCTCCACACACAAAAAAAATTTTTTTTTTTTTTTTGGAAAGAAAAATCACTTTATTCTAATTAACTCACAAAGAATAAAATCGTAACAGCTAGTTTAAGGAGGCCACACATTTGACCAGCTCCAAATTCTACAGAGTAGGAACACCCCCTTCCATTTCAATTCTGAAGCAAGGAAGCTAGGAATGACAGGAGAGGCTACACTTTATACTTTCACTATTAATTAAATTTTTATATTAAGTTAGCTTGGTTATGAGAGCTGGTTTTCCATTTCTCCAGTTTGAACTTCTTGATTAGGCCAATACGTTTGCAAGTTGGCACTGTTTCAGCACCTCGCTGAAACCCTCACAGAGCTTGATGTCACCCTGGTTCTGGGCACACTCCAAGAACTGTTTGATCTCATAGAAACAAGGCTGCTGCTGCTGCGCCGGCTGGGTTCCCTGAGGCTCCTGGTAAGTGATGTCAGACCTCGCAGGCTCAGGATCACTTCCTCCACTGAAGCCCCCAGTAATGGCGTGGCCCAGTGTGTGCCCCACAGCAGAGCCCACAGCCACGCCAGCTGCAGTGGTTGCCATCTGGGACAGCAGACCTGGCTGCCGGGGCGCAGCAGCAGGAGAGCCAACTGCAGAGGGGGGTGCCGCTGCTGGTGGCTGAGCAGCTGGTCCTGGCCTGGGCGTAGCTCTCATCTGAGGGGCCCGGCTGGCCGGAGGGGCCGTGCGGGAGGTGCGGCTTCGGCTTCCACGCGGCATCCTACCGACGGGGCTGCTCGGACTTTAGACATGCAATGACCCCCCAAAAAAATTTTAAATAGTTAGGCACAGTGGCACATGCCTGTATCCTTAGCTACTGCGAAGGCTACAGCAGGAGGATCAGCCCAGGAGTTCAAGGCTTCAGTGAGCTATGATTGTGTTACTGCACTTCAACCTGAGTGACAAAGTGAGAAAGTGAGACCCTAGAGTCCAAAAAACAAACAGTAAACAGAAAAGAAGGAAAGATGTAAGAACTTTACATTTATTTACATCTAATAGAATAGTCTTGAAACATATAAAGCGAAAATAAATAGAACCTCAAAGGGACACAAAGGAATTCAGAAGCTTAGTGGGGGATATTAACTCACCTCTCTTAGTAAGTAATAGTGCAAATAAACACTCAAAAAGTACAGACACAGATGATTAAACTTCACAACAAAGTAGGCATAATGAGCACTATATAAAGTACAGCCTCCACTGATGAGAGAATATGCTTTATTTTCAAGTACAAAAAGATACATATAAAAATTAACCACATCCTTGGCTGGGCACAGTGGCTCACGCCTGTAATCCCAGCACTTTGGGAGGCTGAGGTGGGCGGATCACCTGAGGTCAGGAGTTCGAGACCAGCCTGACCAATATGGTGAAACCCCATCTTAGAAAAAAAAAAAAAAATTAACCACATCCTTGGCTGGGCGCAGTGGCTCACGCCTATAATCCCAGCACTTTGGGAAGCCAAGGCAGGTGGATTACTTGAGGTGCGGAGTTCAAGACAAGCCTGACCAACATGGTGAAACCCTATCTCTACTAAAAATACAAAAATTAGTCAGGTGTGATGGTGCACGCCTGTAATCCCAGCTACTTGAGAGGCTGAGACAGGAGAACTGCTTGAACCTGGTGGGCAGAGTACAGTAAGCCGAGATCTCACCCCTGCACTCCAGTACTGGCCACAGAATGAGACTCTGTCTCAAAAGAAAAAAAGACCATAACCTGAGCCATAAAGCAAATCTCAACAAATTTTAAAGGATTAAAATTATATGAACATGCTCTCTGATTAAAATGAAATTAAGTTAGAAATCATTATCAAAAAGGCAACTTTTAAAGGAAACCTTATCTTTAGAAATAAAGAAACACACTACCAGGAAACTTTCTTAATTAATCTGATTAAGGTTGTCATGGTTTGAATATTTGTCCACTGCAAAAATGATGTTGAAATGTAATCTAATCCCCAGTGTGACAGTATTGAGAGGTAGGCTTTAAGAGGTGATTGAGTCATGAGGGCTCTGCCTTCATGAATGGATTAATCCACTCATGGATTAATGGACTAATTAATTAACGACTTATCATGGGAGTAAGACTGGTGGCTTTATAGAAAAAGGAAGAGAGACCGTCGCTAGCACACTCAGCCTCCTCACCATGGGATGCTGTGCATGGCCTCTGGACTCTGCAGAGTCCCCAGCACCAAGATGGTTTTCAACATATATGGCCCCACAGTCTTAGACCTTCCAGCCTCCATAAATGTATGAAATAAATTTCTTTCTTTATAAATCACCCAGTTTCAGGTACTCTGTTATAAGCAACAGAAAACAGGCTAAGACAAATGTTACCTACAAAGGACTTGCCAAAAACATATTTCTTCATAGTAAAACGAGAGGCTTTGCTCTGATCATGGGAATGAGATAAGAAATGTTCACTATCATCACTTCTATTGTACTTGAGGCCAAACCAAGATAAATATGCAGATAAAGAAATCATCAGCATATTGGAAATGAGTAAATAAAGCTGTCATTATTCAGAAATAACAAAACTATGTACACAGAAATCGAAGATTCTACAGATAAATTAATATGAGTTGAGAACAACTGCTAGAAATGAGATCAAGATATAAAAATCACTGTATTTCTATACATCAGTAACATAACAATGAAATTTTAAAATAATAGTATCATGTCATTGAAGACCTAGTAATAAATCCAATGAAGGGGCCAGGCATGGTGGTTCACGTCTGTAATCCCAGCATTTTGAGAGGCCGAGATGGGTGGATCACTTGAGGCCAAGAGTTTGAGATCAGCCTGGCCAACGTGGTAAAACCCTGTCTCAACTAAAAATACAAAAATTAGCTGGGCATGGTGGTGCATGCCTGTAGTCCCAGCTACTCGGAAGCCTGAGGCAGGAGAACCTCTCAAACCCAGGAGGTAGAAGTTGCAGTGAGCCAAGATCGCACCGCTGCACTTCAGCCTGAGTGACAGAGTGACTGTGATTCAAAAAATAAAAATTACAAAAATAAAAAATCCAGTGAAGGATGTGTAACATCTCTACAAAGAAATTAAAGACCTAAATAGCTCTAGGGATGAACATATACCACATTCATAAGAGGAAATCTCAGTGTTGGAAATATGTCAATTTTCCCCAACTTGATTTACTGATTCAATACAATCCGAATCAAAATCCCTGCAGGACTGTACAGTAAAAGAGGAATTTTACTGTTTGTAAATTATACTTGAAGAAAGAAATGAAAAAAAAAAAAATACAAGAGAATTCTTTATTTTATTTTGTTGGTTTCAGTAGAAATTGGCAAGCAGATTCTAAAATTTATATGGAAATAAATATTAAAAAGACTGTCCCAGAGAATCTTAAAAAGAAAAACAGAGCAAAGTAGGAAGACTTGCCTTGCCTGACATCTAGATTTACTAAACTCTAATAGTAGTTACGGCTACAAGAAACAGTGTGTTATTGGTAGAAGGACAGACAAACAGTCCAGTGGAAGACAAAGAGGATCAAAAAGCAGACCTCATATATGGACACTGCCACTAACATTCTTGTACAGAATCAAGAATGAATGTATATGAGAAGACTCTTTAGCAGTGAAAAATATTGTTTATTTTCTTCTGTTTATTGACTATTTATTGACCTTTTCAATAAAAAGTGAAAGAACAATTGAACATACGTAAGAAAAACATACTTGAAAACTGACTACTACTTATCCTGTACATTCTCAAAATTTTTTTCAGATCGACTGTAAAATCCTAAGTGAAAGGTAACAAAATAAAACCTTTAGAACAATGCATCTTTTACTTTATATTATTAATGCCACTAGCCTAGTCAGGCTCTCAACACGCCACACATTCAATTCTAAGGTTAATGTTCTTTCCATTGTATGAAATAGTTTTTTACTGATACATACAAACACAAGAAAAGTACAATAATTCTGTCATGAGTTAGTTCATCTTCACGGAAATAAAGAGAAGAAAGATTACATATATACCACAGACATACATATACATATATACAGACACACACACTTTATTTTATAATCCACATGGTAGCAATTATTTATAAAAAAGGTTGATTCATATTATATTAAGCTTAATCAAGAAAATCAATTTCAATTACTATATACCTTTATCAAAAACATTAGTGTTTTTCTTTTCCTCCAGAAGCTGCTAAATTGCATTAATTTTGTATAAAACATTTTGTATAAAGCATAATTTTATATAAAGCATTTCCTTAATAGAAGACACAGAGAAATCGATTCTCCCATTTAAAGAACATTAATACCACACCAGCCTGAAAACTAGCTACATTATTGAGTTTGTTAAACATTTTGAGGGGCAAACGAGTAAAATGACAAGTTCTTCCATTACAAAGCTTACATACTGATAAACACTTAAGACAAAAATAGTTCAGTTAACATTACAATATGACCAGAACATGTTAAAGTCTTTTACAATATTGAAAACTCTATCCAGCTATCACAGAAATGAGTAGAAATGACTCACGGTTGCATCGTTTTTGTACAAATCGTAATTTGCAGGCTGTTCTGTAAGTTGATAGTCGTATGACATCAAAATTCTGAGCACCTGAAAAAAGGCAAACAGAAATGCTCAACTAGATTTACCATTTAGTTTCCAAACGCTAAGAAGTGGCTCCATCCTACGGTGTTGCCACAGTATACAAGTCAGCTAGGACTTCTGTTTTGAAATGGAGGGTCAATTAAAAAAACCAGAGGGAGAAAAGGATAGGAAACACGTGCATGCCCAATACGTGCTGGGACTCTGCTAGTTTTGCTCCTGATATCCTGTCTGTTCATCAGAGAAAACTCCAAAGGTAGGAACACTTATGACATGGGTGAGTGAACTACATGATTAGGAAAGGGCAGCAGGGTGGCATCGTGGGAAAGACCCAAGCCTAGAGTCAGAAAAGCTGCATGCCTGTCCCAGCCTGACAAACCACAGAATGCAACCGTGACCATGCCGCATGCCTCTGCACATAAGTGTCCTCATCTGGGAAATGGGAGAACCTACCAGCTGCCTATAAGGTCCCCTTCCAGGTCTGTGGCAGCCTGTATTTTCCTAAAAAAGTGTCCACAACAGTGTTTCCAGAGCAGTATTTTATGTGCTTCTCGTATGTTGTCCCTCTCCATCAAGATCTAGAGATTCTTTCCTTCCATGGGAATCTGGCCAGGACACTGTGACTGCCTCGCTGCCCAGAACGCAGCAGAAGTACAGTGTAGGACTTCTGGAGACAGATGGTAGAAGATGGCACAGCTTGCTCCCCTCTTGCTCTTCCGGGATGCCTGCCCTGGGAACCCAGATGCTATACCATGAGAAAGCCCAGACTGATGTGGAGAGGCCACAGTGAGAGGCTCATAAGGCAGAAGAACTGAGTCCACCAACCAAAGCAGCATCGGTTGCCAAATGCGCAGGTAAGCAAGCCTTCAAATCATTCAAGCCCTGAGCCTTTGAGTCTTCTGCTGAGATCTCAGGCATCATGAAGCAAAGTCAAGACATCAGCACTAAATGCTGTTCTGAGTCTAGACCCAAAAAATGCATAAACAAAATAAATGACTATTTGAAGAGTAAGCCAGAGTAACTAGACCAAAGCCTAAAATTGTACATGAGTTTATAAATCACATTTTGTTCTCATTTTAAAATTTGCTGCAAATGAACTCTACTTGAATTTTAAGGTCGCTTTAGATAGGGTTGGCCCCAATGTGAGATTTATTTCACCTATCCTGCCTTTATAAAATCTGGCAGCAACTTTTGACTCAACAAGG